TTACAATGTATACATTTATGATATGTAAATTGTACCTTATTAAAGCAGTTTAAATAATAACAATAAAAAAGAGCTATCCATATTTGGCATTGCTACCAACTCAGAGCCAATGAGATCTGTTACATTTGTCTCCTATTTCTAAAAGCTCATAAAGATGGTAGACTAATGAAGAATAGAAAATGAGCCACTATTTCCACTGAAGACACTGCTGTCTTTTGAACCTAAACATATTTAGTGTTCTTCCCTGTTACACTTGCTAATTAGTCTTTCTAGCCTTGCAGATGTAGCCAGCCTGTTATGGAATCATACATAAGCAAATATCTTTTTTGAAATCAGAAGAATTTCTTTGGCTTGTTTAAACAGCTGTGTTTCTGGAGCCATAAGATGGTTTGAAATAAAAAAGAAACAGATTCATTTCTTGAGCATTACATTTTATTCTTTTTTCCCCTGATAATTTCTCTCTAAGAGAAGAGGGAAATAACATTCATTGAGTGTATAGTAAGTATAGGATTTTGTGCTAGGTTCATTTGCAATTATGTGAGATACATAGAGCTGGTCTTATTTTCCAGATAAGCAAATTTATTCTCAAAATTTAAATAAGCAATAGAGTTGAACTCCAACTCAGGTCTTTCTGCTAAAATTCACTACCTATTCTCTCCACTTTGCAGCCTTGTGTTTGGTGGAATAAAGACTTTCAAAATCATTATACAGTTGTTGATCAGTATCTATCACTCTATTTTTGAAGTTTTCAGTTAATAGTCAAAGGATCTATGTTCTAAAAATTATGGATCATTTAAAAGAAGACTGTATTCATGTATTTCTCTCTGTGAACATCACAAAAATATAAATAATGGTACATAAATATATGTGTGTACACACTTATACATACAAGTGTATAGGTATGAAAATAATGTTTTATAAATTCCTTGGCTTTATCTAAGTTATTCCTAAAATTCTATTGTAATAATTACTTATATTTCAGATTTTACTACTGAATTACGAGTAAGTTGTAGATAAGGATATGTGTTGTGTTCATTCTATTACCCTAGCAATCAACCCAATGTAAAGCACACCAGGGGTGTTCAATAAATATTAACAATTAAAAATTTATCCAATATAAGTTATAAAAACAGGTGCAAAATACATTTTATGTTGTATAGTTTTTTTTACAGGAAGAAAAAAAGCTTATTTATATTTTTTTAATGTTCTCTATAAATATCCTTAGAGTAATGGTTCTCATACATTTTGTTTTAAATAGCCATTTATACTCTTTAATATTACTAAGGACCTCAAAGAGCTTTTGTTCATACGGATTACAGGCCTGTATCATAATTTAAGACTGAGAATTTAAAAACATTTATTCATAAATTTCAAATGAACTCATTCTATGTTAAAATAATTATATTTTTAATAAAAGTGACTGCATTTTAAAAATAAAACACTTATGAGATGGATGGTGTTGTTTCACATTATTGCAAATCCACTGAAAATTGAGCTAAATGAAATACAGCTAAATGCTCATCTCTGCTCTGTGTACAACCTGTTGTGATGGCACACATCGTGTGACCTCCAAGGACCTCTACTGCGCATTTTCACAAGAAAACGGGGGTGTCAGGCAAATGCTACCTTACCATTTACTATGAAAATAGTTCTTTGTGGACCCCCTGAAAGAATCTTGGAGACCATGAGGGTCTCCTGCTCGAACTTTGCGAAACACACAGAGGAAACAATAAATAAAACACACACTTTCTATTCCTGTCTTCTATTTTGAAATTCTTTTTGATTCCAAAAAATAAAAATATTTTTTCTTTTTTTGTGTGTGAGTTATACTTGTTTCACGTAATTCTTATAAAACATTTTAACGCTACACACCCTGTTAGGGTGGTTTATTTTCTTTAATTTTTTAAAGAAGATTTCATTTATTTATTTGAGAGCAAGAGAGAGAGCACGAGTGGGGGAGGGGCAGAGAGAGAGAAGCAAGCTCCCCGCTGACTAGGGAGCCTAAGATGCCAAGGCCCAATGCCGATGCGGGGCTTGATCCAGGACTCTGGGATCATGACCTGAGTGGAAGGCAGACACTTAACCAACTGAGCCACCCAGGCACCCCTAGAATGGTTTATTAAACTATCATAAAAGATACACAGTTTTTCTACTTTCAGTGGGTTTATATAACCAAAATGAAAATGCACTAATGACTATTTGGACCTTCTGTTAGGGAGGGCAGATATATTACATTTTATCCTTTACTCCTTCCTTGCTTACATCCTATCGTGTTTACAAAGGCATTTAAATTTTTGGTTAGATAGCTTTTTCACTACTGATGAAGCTACAAGCCACTGCTCATTTTCTCTAAATATGAAAAACAAACAGGAACTTATTTTTTTTATTATGGAAAAAGTCCTACATATAAAAAAGTAATGCAAGCCTATAATAAAACCCAGTGTGGTCAATCTTCCAACTCCAACCATTATCAAATCATGGTCAATTTTCTCATCTATTCCTTCACCATTCTCCACACAACTAATTTTGAAAGAAATCCCAGACAAGATATTGTTTCCTCTGCAAATATTTCAGTATATAACTCTAAAAAAAAAAAAATCTACCCTTAATTTTTATTAAAAACGTTAACATCAAAAGTGGTAACCATAGCCAAAAAACAACAGTAAATCTTTAATATCACCAAAAGTTCAGCTAAGCAAAAAAGGCTTTTGGTTGAGTGGCAAACAACGGAGAGATCAGCCAGGAGCACAGATGCTCTGTGCTAGCGTTTGCCTGCCGTTAGCTTAGACCTTTTAGATCTTGTTTGCCATAGAAGTCATTTCTCACTCTAGCTTTGCATATACGTGTATTTAAATCCCTTTGAGGTACTGAAGATTTATTTGAAAACAACACGAATTGCTTCAAAACATTTCATTTACTATGAAATTATGCTACCCAAGTACACATGGAAAATATATTCAGTAGTATTCAACGCAAGGGAAAATAATGGGGAAAATATTTTTATTTTTATATTAGGTAAATATCAAAAGAAAAAGGGGTATGCAGAGAGATGATACAGAACGCTACTAGTAAACATATTGTTCAAAACAATGATTCTTGTTTCTCATTTCGTAAAATCTATATACAGAGGAAACTGAATTTAGTTTTCAGGCTAGAGTATTTATAATGAGATATTAGTAGCTCTCATTTCTGTCTTTCCTACACTTTAAAACTTTTTTCCTAATAAAACAAAATAATAAGTTGCAAAAGACAGGTAAGAAGGTTGAGGGGATGACTAACGCAGTATAAAAGCAATAATACAGCTAGAAGATAGATACAGTGATATAGAATTCTGGTGATTTAGTAAGATTTCTGTTGTTTGCACTAAAAAAAATTTGGCATTGTTGGAAAGTACAATGTTGTTTTGCTTTATAAGCTGGAGGGAACTGAAATAGTTTGTAGAAGTAATTATTCCATAGAGTTATTCCATTGTAATTATTCCAATCCATAGAGCCCATGGATTTTAAGATTTACCCCTGGAATTTTCATCAGTGCTTAAAATACAGTGTGCATGCAATAAAACTATGAAAGTTTAAATTATCTGTCTCTGGTAGGAGAAAAATTACCCAATCTTAAAAGGAAAACAGCATTAGACTCTTAATCGATTCATTCTCTATGAAAATAAAGAGAGGAAAATTGCTCAAAGCAAAACCTGTTCCACATCTTCATGCTCCATGGTCTAAAATATGCAAAGAACAGGAGCAAGTAAACTGAAAAAATATCTATTTTTGTCCTTTGTTATATCAGTCCTTGCAGGGAAAAAAAAACCCTCCAGCATATATACCATGTTCGATATATCACCTCTACATATGTTCATATATATACATAAACATATATATTGATGAATATTTTCTGTTGATGTACAGTGTCTATAAACACAAGGAATATACTTGAATGAGAAGACAGGTACTATTCATATTTCAAAAGTCATTAACTTTGACAGAATTTATATTTTGTCTCAAAGATCTAAACAAAAAAAATTTATGATATAAAAATTCCATTATCTTTTAAAAGCATCAAGGTCATGAAACACAAAGATTGCGAAACTGTCAGACGGCAGACGAAGAAGGGATGACAGCTAAATGCAATATGAGATCCATATTGGATCCTGGACCGGGAAAAAAAAAAGAATTTAGTGGGTAAGTGGGAAGACTAAAACTCTAGAGAAGGCTTGTAGATGTGCGTGTGTGTGTTTTAAAGATTTTACTTCTAGGTAATCTCTACACCCAACGTGGGGCTTGAACCTACAACCCTGAGATCAAGAGTTGCATGCTCTACTGACTGAGCCAGCCAGGCACCCCAAGGCTTGTAGCTGTTTTAATAGTACCATATTAACTAATGTTAACTTCCTGGTTCTGATCTCCTGATCGTTATTAGATAGATGTTAACATTAGGGAAACTGAGTAAAGGATGGGCAGAAGAACTGACCATACTATTTTCTGGGAGTCCAGAATTTTCTAGGAATCTAAAATTTTTTCAAAATAAAAAGCATAGAAACCTGTCATACGTTTTGGTTTACATAAGAACACAAACAAGTAAACAAACAAAAACTCAGCATAATTGATGATGTTCAAATTGACAAGGTATAGAGGGGTTTATTCCTTAGAAGAATCAGAGATCTCTACTACCTGTGTAAGGATGTTTTGTAGTTCTAAAACCAGTGGCCATATTGCTCGGAGCAATAATTATGCAGTATTATAATGCCATGTATGTTTTAAAGATGCAATTAAGGAAAAAATGATCTAAATGTGTACCACTTAGTAATTTGTCATATTAATGACCATGCCCTTATAATCTTTTATTTTCAAATGTGTAGCCTGCTTATTTTTTGAAATTCTCCAAAACACAATTTTTGACATAAAAAGTAGTATTTTCTAAAATTTGATAAGTCATCTAAACTGAAATCCAAAGACATATCCTAATCTGATATTAAAATAAGTAGATTATTTGATTTCCTTTACCTGAAACTGTGTGATCCTTCGAGTCTCTTGTTATTTTTATCCTTGCATGAGGAAAGATGTAGTGCATAGTCTTCCCATTCATCTGTATAATCTAAGATATACATATGATAAGGTGAACAAACAATGTTTAAAGGCACTTAAAATGCAATACACAGGTTTAGATTTGTTTCAAGTGTGTTGATTCAATCAAGAAAAAAATATTACCAGATTCTCAAATGATCACAATTTAAGCATCTTACACTATACAGTATTATTAGTTTCTGAGTTGATTGTGATCTTTATATTTATAACCAATCACTCTTGCAAACTGATTTTCTGTGTTTGGGAAATTGATAGGCACACTTAACAGGTACTAGAGGATGTCTGTTCCTATAGTAGTACATAAATGACAGTGGTAGACAACGTATGTGAAAACGAGTGAATCTCTGATTTTGTTCTGGGCAGCCTAGAAATGGAAAGGTATTTTTAATTTTTGGCAATTAAGTGGTGCTGGCGGAGAAAAGGCAGAAAAAAAAATCCTCCTACTATACATCTTTATCACTCTAATAGGACTGCTTTACATTTGTGTTGCTTTGATTTCATTGTAGAGTTGTGCTTTTGCTATGCATACCTACTAGAAGTGCCAATGCACACTGGATGCTGAGGCTAGTTCTACACAAATAAAGCTTTGGCTCATTGTAATTCTTTCTGAGGCCTTCCTTTTATTCGAAGCTGTGTTACTGATGGAGTTATTCCTCATTTACTGTTGACATTCCTTTGGGTAGAAACATCAACGCTGAAAGCTACTGTGGCTAGCCTGTGATTCCAATTCTCATTTTTGAGACTTGAATATGAGAATACTAGAGATTGCATTATCGCTGTTTTCCCCTGGCAAAATGAGACTTCTGAAACAAATTAGTGAATGCAAACTTATGTTTTATATTTTATGGTACTTTGCTTTTAAATGAGATTTGTGAATCAATACGAGATAAAAATAGGGAAATATCTAGTCATATCTATATTGAGGATTTTATTAGTATGAAATGTTCTATCACCTTAGAAAAATTTGACTAAAATTACAAACAAAATAAAGTTTAGTAAAGAGACATGCAATATTACCTATTTCAGAATATGTTTAAGAAGTCCGTAAGAGAATTAAACCAAAATATTAAATAGAAGTTAGAACCCAAGAGATGTTGATTTGTGATTCCTTGAATACTCGTGTGGTTTTAATGTGTAAATCCACCTGTAAGACTGTTGAAATTCTACATATTAAAAGTAAAATATGTATTGAAAAACGCAAGCTTAAATTATAGCCTGTCGCTTTTCTTCTCTTCAGGAAAGAATAAGCTTAATCAGGTTTCTGATGAACAGAAAACACTCCCCAAACAGCAGAATCCTGTTGAGTCCAGGGATATTATCTGAACTCTTCAAAGTAGAACTGTTGTTTGCAAGATTACAAATAAATTATGGGCAGTATAATCGGTTCGTCTAGATAATTTGTGCCACTATAACTTCTTAAGCCACCGAACCTTATTTATTTATATTCATGGCAAGAAGAGTGTATACATTTTCCCTTGATTCTCCGTCTTATTTTCTCTGTGTCGGTATCTGTCTACCTCTGCCTGCTTTCTTCTTCCCTCTCAGTTTCTCTCCTCTGCCTTTCTTACTTTCCCTCCCTTCATCTTTTCTCCTTCTATTTCCCTTCTTCCACTTTTATTCCTCCCTCCCCAATCTGCATTTAATGATCTTACTTTTTTTTACTGAAAATTAAACCATGTTCATTGAAAATACTACAACTATTAGCTATAACTGAATTTTGCTTTGGTACTGTAGATAACTAATTCAAATTGGCATGATTTCATTTTAAGTATCTTTAATTTCATGTTCTATTTGACCACAATCTTAAAAAGTCACTTTTTTCCACTTGGTCAACAATAAAGTAAGAAAATGCATTTTCATTATGCTATTCTTTCCAATTCTCTAGACTAGGGAGAAGGTGATGTAAACTCAAGTGCATTTGTTGCACAGTCTAGGAGATCTGTAAGATTTTCCAAACTTTTCAGCAGAGTTTTATCAGCTAGCCATTATCACCTTCTAATTTGTACCTCTGATGATGCTAGTAGAAGGGATGTTAGCATCTTCATTTCCATAAAATGTTGCTTTCAGAAAACCTCATAGCACCTCCTGTAATTTCAGAGACTGTCTATAGCTAGCATCACGAACTCACAAAATCAAAAACATGAAACTGCCATAATTATGATCAAAGTGACCAAAAGTCTGTAGAAAGCAGTGGTATCTGTCTTCCATGTATGAACTAGTTGGGTCTTAGCTTTTTTCTAAGCATTGCAGGTCAATGTTCAGAGTTCTCCAGCAGATGGAGTTTCAGGGTCAGTGTTGCTTCTGTCAAATAAGAGTAGGAATGAGGGCAGGACTGATGTCAAGTAGTGCCCACACTTTTTCCCGACTGTGTGTCTCTGGTATTACTGTCTTTTGGTGATTCTGCACTGAAAGGGCTATCAACTTTATGCCTCCCAGCAAAAGGATTCTTCTCTACCTACAGATATTTTCTTTTTTTTTTTTTTAAAGATTTTATTTATTTATTTGAGAGAGAGAGAATGAGAGAGAACACATGAGAGGGGAT